TAGTTGGAATACACTGTCTCTACTAGGTCCATGTTACAAGCAAATCAGATAGTTGAAAAGTCTTTTTTGGGTTAGATGTCCATATAGTATATCACACTGCTATGAAAATAACTAATGGTTTAAAGAAGTAAGGACTAATAGCAAATCAAAAGATATGAGAGGGTATAAAATTGTAGAAAGAAAAAAAAAGATTTCAGGGTAAGACAAATAAAACATTGAGAAACTCACAAGACTTTGTGGCCAAATTTTGAGCTTTGTATGATCGGCCTTAGTAGATCAGCATCCATAAGGTTGAGCTATCTGTCTACTTGCAGTAGAAAAAAAAGCATGACTTTTAGGAAGAATAATGTACATTTAACCTGTAGAGATTTGGGGACTGAAAGCTAGGGTTAGGAGCATGAAGTCATGATTAATAAACAATGAATAATAGGAAAGGATAGGCCATATATTCTGTGATTTGGTTATATTCATATTAGTAACAGTCGAACTTGTTATAATTTTGTTCTTTCTAGATACTAGGCGGTCCGTAATAAAGTGCCTCATTGGTGGGCGGGAGTTCAAGGAAATGTTGAAGCTCTTTGGAGTCTAGAAATAGGGTTATTAGCTTTTTGAATCTGGTAAACGTATCACAGTTACGGATAGGCATTGGCAGCCTGTTCCACAATAAACTGTACCGTACTGTAAAAAACTTACAACGCATTTGTTTTTGGTGTTTTACGGTAAGTAGTGTATATGCGTTGTTTCTAAGTCTATAGGCTGGGTCGTGGGTGATAGTCGGGCAGGAGGTTAGAAAGGAGAGCCGTTATTCAGTGTGCACTTGTACAATGTATCACAAAGCGATACATATTGATTTGGAACATGATCCGTCACTGCTGGACCTCGCCCTCACCCACCACTGTGAGGGTGTCTCTAATATTCAGCACCTTCACTAGTGAACAGTGATCACGTTGTACTTCACTTTAAGTTTAGGACACACTGTATACAATTTGTATCTGCTCCACCCTGTCCCAACATCTGGCGAGCTAATATTCAGAAACTGTGCTATATTGACTGATTGGTCGCTCGACGCGGGTGGATCGATCGAAGACGAATGGAATAAGTTTAAGGCTACACTCGAGTCCGTAACTTCGCCGTTTATCCCATGGTCAGCACGTAAGCTATCACATTGCCCTCCATGGATGAATAAGGAAACCCGGAAGCTGTTAAAGCGTAGGAAACACTTCTGGGACTTATTTTTGATTGACGGGTCACGCATCATTTAAGCGTGTGTACCGAAAATTCCGGAATATTTGTAAGAAAACCATAGCTAATTCCCGTACTACTTACGAACGACAATTGATATATGATAGTCATACTTGTCCGAAACGATTGTTTTCGCATGTTAAACGGCGAATGGAACGTAGTGATGGTATAATCCCGTTACTGTTAGACGAAAATTCAGATTTACTTGCTCAACCAGATCGGGCAAAAGCTGGGACTTTTTCAAACTATTTTAGCGAAATCTACTCTTTGTTTATGGTAACAAATACTTGTCCCAATGACGCCGAGATACCCGCCATTGAATCTGTACTGGTGACTGTGAAAACTGTCCTTCCGTTGATAACTAACCTCAAACCTGGTAAGATACCGGGCCCTGACGAGTTACATCCACGGTTGTTACCATTTCTTGCGGACATTATTTCAAAACCGCTCGCGACGCTCTTCAACATGTCCCTTTCACTCGCTTAACTCCCTAGAGATTGGAAGGACGCTATAGTTGGTCCTATATTTAAGGACGGTCAGAGATAGATAGTATCTAACCACCGGCCTGTCAGTCTAACTAGCATAGTCGTTAAGTTACTTGAAAAGATAATTCGGGTTAGGTTGCTAAGCCACATAGATTTACACAATCTGTTAGCTCCTGAGCAACATGGACTTCGTAACAAGTGTTCATGCTTGGCTAACTTGCTTATTGCGAGGGAGGATTGAACAGCAGCCCTAGATAAAGGTCTGTCTGTCGATGTGATATTCATAGATTTTAGCAAAGCATTTGACAAGATTTCATACGTAGGTCTTATGCAGAAGCTCAGGAGCTTCGGAATAATAGGTACTGTACATGCGTGGATAGGAAATTCTTATGTGACCGCAGACAGAGAGTTAGGGTCAATGGAACACTATCCGATTGGAAGCCGGTCAAAAGTGGTGTACCCCAAGGCACCATCTTAGGCCCTCTGTTCTTCCTTCTCTACGTTAATGAGTTACCGCTGTTACTTAGGTCGTCGACATTGTTGTTTGCGGATGACGTAAAAATCTGGAGAGCAATAAAAAGTGCGGCTGATCGTCTGGATCTTTAAGCTGATTTAGACGATTTAGTTAGATGGGTTCGAGAGTGGGGCTTAGAAATCGATGCTAGGAAGAGTGTGCTAATGCACATCGGTCACGGTAATAGTTACCGTCACACTATTGAGGGTAAACCTCTTCCATGCGTTCAAGAGCATAAAGACTTAAGAGTAGTATTAGGTCATGATTTAAAAACAACCACGCGTAGCAAAGCAGCCGCTGTCAAAGGTTTTCGTGCGTTCAAATCTTTTGACGAGATGTTCCGAATTTAATATCCCACCTATGTAAGACCACACTCAGAGTACTGTATCCAAGCAGCTAGCCCATGCTCGGTAAAAGATACTAACTCACTTGAGCGTGTCCAGCGTGTGGGAACGAAATTAGTGAAAGGTCTTTCTAGACTCCCTTACGATGAGCATTTAAAACGCCTAAATCTTTTCCTCTTGTCCTATCGTAGGACACGAGGTGACCTTATACTGGCATTTCGTATCTTTTATTATGATTTGGGTGTTAATATGTCTTATCTGTTTGCTCCCTCCAGCACTAATAATCTCCGTGGTCTTAGCAAGAAGGTTCATAAACCACGATCTAATAAACTTAAAGTGCGGTCCCGTTTTTCTCATCGAGTAATCAATCATTGGAACGCCTTACCCGAACAAGTGGTATCAGTACCATCAGTGAATACCTTCAAGAAGAAGCTGGACCTTCACTGGAAAGCAATGTGTCAGGATTAATACAGGTTCACCAACCTACTATCCTTATTACTGAAGACTGAAAACTTTCAGATACTTTTCAGAAGGGGATATATTCTCTGTTTTTAAGAAACATATTTGCCATCAGGTGTTTTACAGTCCTTTTGTAAGGTGAGTCATATCAAGTCTCTCACTGACCTTGTGATTTGTTTTTCGGATTAAAAGTTTATTGTCGTCGTAGAGACCTTTAAACCAACTTTCAAAATTCAAGATGTCTAGGAGTTCTTCTGAAGAGAGAAATAAGGCACCAAAATGCCCTTTTGAAGTCTACAGATCCGAGGGCGATGCACTTTTAATGAAGAAAAAGTACCTTAAGGCAATTATGGCTTACGATCAGGTATATGAAAGAGGCGTCGTTAATTTCAACATAGGCCTTGGATAGAAAAGAAAGTGATAGACATTGTCTTCTTAGAAGGTCTTCATGTTACCTAGCACTTGGAAATCTGACCAAGGCTTTAAGTGATGCGGATGTTGCACTTGTGGAGGATTCGAATTATTATAAGGTGCCTACTCGAAAATTTCGAGATTATCAATAGTTTAGGCTCTTTATTTGAAGGGACAGATTCTCTACAATAAAGGAGATTTTGAACATGCCCTTGTGTACTTTCATCGTGGACAACAACAAAGACCGGAATTACAAATGTTTCGACTTGGGATCCAGAAGTCTGAAGAAGCTATAGAAAACTCTCTCACAGGTAAATTAGAAAGTTATTCTACAATTCCATTTGTAATCATAAAAAAATTCAAAAGTTTGCTATACAATTCTGGTTTGTTCGATCGGAGCATTCGCTTTGTCTAAGGAGTGGCATCCACAAGTATTTCAGTTTTTGTAAAACCATCAGATTAAAATCATTTTTGTCATATGGGCTAGACTTCAATATTATCACGAGTGTTTCAAAAGTATATAACTCTATATCCATCAAATTTGTATGATAAAGACTTTTTCTAACTTAAGATACAAAGTGAGCTATGATCAGAAACCTTGAGAAATTATGAGTTCATCAATAGTTGTTGATTGGTATATATGTTTTTTAGAGAAAAAATGTTCCAAGTTTTCACCATTATGGTGTCCATACAGTGTTACACCCTCTTTAGACGATATTTTTGCTTGTAAACAGTTCAAAGTTTTTGAAGGACACTGAAAAGGAAGATCATGTAAGTAGAATTTTGCAATGCCAGGTGTAAGAGAAAGTGTTAGATCCACATTTCAAATAATCTCGTTGACCGAGTATTTGATCAGAAAATTGCACCTAGAATTTTTTGTATAGTTAGCCAGTAATTTCTGTCAAGCGTTTTTCAAACCTCGACGAATAATTTCAGAATCATTTACAAATAATAACATACTGTTCAATAAACTTCTATACACAGTTGTTATTAGTGTTTTGACTAAATTGAAACAACGTAGAATGTGGGACGTAGGTAGAGCTTTTTCTTCTTAAGCACATATTTAGTGTTAATGTGAAAGGTCTAACCGTTGGTTGATGTATCATTTAAATCACAAATCTGGATGTTTTGTTTCATTGATGTGCACTATAAGCGTTTATAGAGTTATACTAAGAACACATTTAGTTGATATTCGATCAAATGAATAATAAATTGTACTTTTTGAAACTATCTGTTGACAAATAAACGTATAAGACACAAAATTACATTTGAAATCACTTCGAATAAAAAAGAAGTCTTTAACCTCTGAGTTTTTTTACATTCGATACACTATCAGTAAGTCTAAGATCACCCTCCTAGTAGTTTTAAACAACTATATAGTTTCTTGGATGGAAAGTAAGAAAGATAATACTCATTTTTGCTTTAAGAAAAATTAAAGTACAACGCTCTCTAAATATGTCGCCCAGGCTTTTCTTTCTTTTTGTTTATTGCAGGCCATAAGAAATTAAAATCGGTAGTGCAGGTGCAAAAGGATTTGTCAAACAAATGGATGATGTAAGTTTTCGTACAAATTACTTCGTATTTCTTTATTGTCTATTCAAATACTTGTGCACTATGAATACAAGCAATAAATCCAACTGCAAAGTATACACCTATTTTAAAACTGATCTAATGGTATATTAACTAGTAGATATTATCGCTTAGTTCGAAACTTTTAACTCTATCCTGTAAAGTGAAAGTTAAACTATTAAAAACTCCAGTAATTACAATATAAAAAACAAACACAGATCGAAAAATATGTGTCAAACAGTTGACTGCCTGAAGGTATGCAGTCAGCTATCTACTGAGTTTGCAAGCTGGAAGCATTATTAGCAGTGGCTGAGATTTTTACCTAATAAAAATAAAATGTAAATCCGATAGAAACCAATATTTGAAATTCGTTGAAGTATAACTAATTTGATCCGTATCCAAGGTTATTTTTGCTCTGCATTTTCCAGCAAGGAATATTATCGGCGGTGATCACTTGAGCGATTACTAAATCTACCTTAAAAGTGTATATACAAATTAAAACAAGAAAACGTAAGAAAATGTGATGAGAAACATTAATAATAAACTGCAAATTTACTGCAAAATGACAATCTTTATGTCCTCAATATTTAATTCTCAGTGCGTTAGGTGAACATGACAATCAAAATCAGAATTTTGTTTCGTTATAATGCAATCAAATTAATAAATTAATATGAAATAGTACTTTAATGATAATCTTTTTTATTCTTTAGTATTTGTTAGACCATACATATCTTTATTCTTCATTATAGGAAGAAAAAGCTCAAGTAAAACATTGAAATTTAGATTTTTGTGTAGATTGTCATTTGATCTTTAGTCCTTTTTATGTTGTTGCATGGTAGTTTACTCTGTCTGTAACTAACTCATAATTATTTTGTTTGCGCTATTGTAAATATTTGGTTAGTATTCTCAGTTGCACGATAATCGTTCAACTCTATTGATATAGTAAGTATAAATGCTCAACCGATTTGTAAATGCTATTTAAAAATGATCTTCCTTTATTTCGGTGTCTTCAGCATAAAAGTTTAACCGGTAACTCGATTTTCAATGAGTCTTTAAGTTATTCATCAGTTTTTACTTGATGCATCCTTTTCCATCCATGCATATTTTCCTTGCTAAGATAGGCGGTTTGAAACTTCCAGCTGTCGTTCCTACTGTAGTTAAATTTGGCTTTACTATTAAGCGTCTTAGCATTTATTCACTAAATCATAATTTAAAGATTTCCTCTGATAACTTAACTTTAGAAAGTTTGGTAATAACACTACCCCTTATACTCGAAAGAAATGTAGCTTGAATCCTATCCTATGAACTTCTGTTTCGTAAATTGGCTAAATTATATTTTACTATTATTAGATGCACCTATATGGTATAACCTAAGGATCAATGTCTAGATGCATTACTCTGTTGTACATCCATGAGCTGTAGAATAAATTACTTAAGTCGAAGTCTGGTTTACTTAGTAAATCATGTCTCCCGGAAAACTTTGTGTGTTTTTCTAGTGTTGTCTGACTTTGACCAATAAGAAATCACTAGTAAAATCGTAGTTGATTTCCAACATGAATCTGCTACAGTATATCTATTTGGTTCCTTAGCTATTAATCTTGTTAATTCCACCGGAACGCACTGATGCGGTATGACAATTTGTTGTGATATATTGGCATAAATAACTACCATTACTGAACTATCGGTCTCTTATTATTTCCATTTGTATAGTTTTCGTTTTACAGAATTTCTGTATTATTAATTCTATATTATTAGATTATGCTACTTGTGAGTAGTTCTTATTTTATTGCACAGTTTTGGTATTCCACATTTCAGTAATTAGGGATCGCCTTATTGCATTCATTCAACCATTTGGAACTATAACTTCTTTTCTTTGTTTGTACTCTAAATCACATTTGAATATGTCTCTGGTCCTACTAATTTAGATATAAACTAGTGGCTTATCAAAAATGGAACCATACACATACAACTTACTGCTAAGAGAACCCAAGACAATCAGGTTTACTTTGGTTAACTTAAAGGCTAATTACAAAAAGTTTTTAAAAAAGTTCTAAAAAAACCTTCATTAAAAAAAGGAAGGATTACTTGCGTTACTGACATTGGCGAGGACTGTTTAATCTGTTTATGGTATATATCAAACATTTTATTCACAAAGATACCATTTACTTTTCTTATTTCGCTTCATGGAGGAAGTAACCAATAACTCAAATGTCTTTTGTTCAAAATTTTTTAGAAAGCTAAGTCACGTCAAATAACTCAAAAGTCCAAAAAAGTAACTGGTGACCCTTCTACTGGAGACGGTGATCAAGATAATCAGAATATTCCTATTAATTTGATTCCGAAAAATATGTCTAAAATCATGTTTGGTCCATTATATACAGATCATGAATACCTGGAAGAGTTGTTAAAGCAAGAGTGTAAGGAAATTTATTCATTTCACCGTATAGCGTGTACATAATGTGTTGATTTTTAACACATGATTATTCCTAAACTGATGCTTAATTTCATGCTTGTTGGGACATATAATTCGCAAACATAACCCTTTCTTATCCTTATTCGTAATTCTGACTGGGAAGCAATGAAAATGAGAGAAGATGAAGTCAAATAGCTCAAAAAAATGCATCAACTCATAGAGTTACCATCCTTTGGGTAGTTGTAGATTTCCGACTCGGGACTCGCTGGATTATCGTGTGCTATGGTTAAAGATCCTAGGCAACATGTCCATGATTCAATCACAATGTCTTACATGCATCATTACATCTATTTGTAAATAGTGGGTTAGATATCATATTTTATATCCGACGATCTTATCCGTTTTGAACTGTACTTATGTCGATTTTCTATTTTGACCAATATTCACTTCGCTTATATTTACATAATAATTTACTTTCCTGTTGTGATGGTGCCAACTGAGGTAAATTGAACCACTAGACATCGTCATCACGTTTTATATTATCTATGACAGATTGACCCATTGTTGAACAGAAAGGTTATTATTTACATTCAAATCCCTTCCAAGCCACCAGATATTGAATTACCTAAGCTTTCCATCACTTTTAAACTATTTAGATTGATGTCTTATATTATTATATTATGAAATCATTAAATAGTATAGTTTCCGTAGACAGTGTACTATTCATTTATTCTCATTTTCGATATGGTCTAATAAATTTCTAACATGTTTAATGACATTTAACCACCAGTTCATCTTTATCTACTTCGTTAAATCGAATAAAACAAGTATTTTACAACAAATATTACATTGTTTAGCTGCACAAAAATGGAAGACTACATATTCTGAAGAAGTACGTAATCTAGCACGTAACGGTATTACTTATTTGGATGAACGATCTAAATTTTGGCATCAAGAAAAACCTGTTTATGCTCGAATGAAAGCTGGAAGATTGAAACCCTTGATAAAACCTCAGCTTACTAAAAAACAACGCTGCCCTGAAATTAATAAAGTATTGAATAGACTCCATCATATTGATAAGTGTAAGTCCTAATAATTTCTTAAAACTAAAATATTTCCCTGTGAAAAATAGTTATTTTAATACAAAAGGTTGCTAGTAGAATGCTATTAGCGATGTTTCAAGCTCAAATGATATTCTAAAATATGAGATGAATTTTTAGGTAAGTAAAACAAAAGTGTACATTCATCAACTTCAGTTTTACAGAGCACGTATAACGTCTGATATTTGTAATTCCTATCTTATAGTGAAACTGATTGACAGAGACTTCTAAATACGTAGGAATTCATAAATAATATGAATCTATATGTCCTAACTCTGTTATATATTTAATATTCATGAACTGAAACAGTTTGGGATGCTTATGAATAAAAATTGTAAATCGTTCACAACAATTCGCAATAATGCACAATAAATGCTTTGTATGAATATTGATATCTCGTCAGTCGTTTATGAACTGAAGTAATAAAACTAATGAAACGTTTAGTGCACCTCCAATACTCTAAAGCAATAAATTTCGAAAAGTATTTATCAATTAAAAACTATTCATGGATAAACTCTGTATATTCAGCTATTCTATGTGAATCACAATTCTGACATTTAAGCAACCAGAGAAATTGGTCTAAATTTGTTCTGTAAAACATTTGGAATCCTCACTTTCTGTCATGAAGTTTTATGTTTTCACGTGAGTTTCGGGTTGCTTAATATAATTTAAGCATCCATGAAGACTGACAGATTTTGAGAAAGTTCCAGTGCCATCTAGCATCATTAAATGATAAAAAATCAACCGACTTTAATTAATACATGATACAAGGCTATCATCACTCAATGTCTTTTAGAGGTTCTTGTCTTTAATTGTAACGTATTTAGGTACCTATGCGTTTTTTTAAAACCGAAGGCCATGAAAATATGACACAGTTGCTAACCCTATTATGAGCTATCACAATTTTCTGGCCTTGGAGATAGCAAATTTAAATAAAAATTTCCGATACATAAAACGTTACTGGTTGAGCGTAATAAAATAAAAATCAAACCAAGTGGGACTCATTCACGGGAGGTAACTCAGCCAGTATATGGGTTCTAGCCGATTATTTATCACCATATATAACAAACTTATGTAACTTTTTAAATACCCCATGAATTCTTTTACACGATAATTATCAGCATTTTATTGACGAAAGATGCAACAAGTATAGCGACAACATAAATGTATCAAGAAAATATTCATAATGAAATCGATTTATTATGAAAGTGTTAAACCCAGGGTCATTGGTTATTGCACTAATCGTTGCCCTACACAGTCAATATTTGAATGTAATTGCTTTAAGAGTGAAATTCTCAGAAAGGAAACTCTTCTCTGAATTGTTTTTGTTTGTGCAACACGTGGCAAATAAATGAAGAAACGATTCCAAATAATTTCCAAATGAAAGGTATTATAGTTGTGAAACGTATTGTAAAAATATGAGTTCCAATGACTATGTTATACGTTAATCTGTTTTTAATAAACTTAATATCCAGTGCAACGGGCGCATCAACATGAATTAGCAGTGAAACATGCCGAGAATTTACTTCACGAGGTTAAAACATGGGATTCATCACAAGTTTCAAATTATCATGAAATTTTGGCAAATATTTATTCAATGCTTGGGTTGTCCAATTTAGAATTAGGAAATTATACCGAATCATTGGAAGCTCATCAAGCTGCATATGACCTTGGACAAGAAAATAATTTATCAGAGGTTATTTCCCATTCAATGGATAATATGGGACGTGTATATGCGAAAAAAGGAGATTACGATTCAGCTATTAAAATGTATGTTGAATATAAAAAGATAATTTCTGTTTGTTTACTTAAGATTAACGTAGACGTGTTTATTCATAATAAAAACCAGTTTAAACAAACATCTTTTTCAAGAGAATTTAAATCCTTAAAGTGTGAAATCTCCTGTAAAAGACATATTTTGAGAATCTATGTATGAGTAAAAATTAATCGATAAGAAAGTAACATTGAACTAACACTTTTGGGTAATCAAATGAATGTTGACTACAAGCTATTTTGAAACTTCAAGACATAAATTTCCTCGAATATACTCTTTGTTGTTGCCAGATGTCAGTCTGCCTTTTATTTAATAGTACCTAGTTCCACTTACGTAATGACAAATGAGTGCAAAAATTTGAAATTATTGAGGTTAAAAATTTATATGCTTCATACGATATAATAAGGAATATACTGAAACATATCAAACGTATTTGAAGTCGACATGTACAAAAGACCAAACAGGCACCAATTACTACGTAGTTGTCGGTCAGTGGAAATATCTCAATCCTACTGGAAAGTATTTATGATTTAAATCGCAACACAGATACCACTAGTTTCCTCAAAATTCTGGCCAATATGAAATAATATTGAAGCAAAACTTCCCATCAATTTCGTAGAACCCGTTTGCATCCAAATATATAGCACGCCGTCTTGTTATTTAGACCAGTGGTCATTTGACAACGTGACCGATAACATTTGTTCAGCACCACAAAGTATCTAACAAGCACGAGATTTTTTACTACTCAGTGATCAATGTAAATGCTAGGAACAACTCTGAAGTATAATGCTATAATAATAGTGTACCACAAAGTGATGGTAAATGTTTGTGCAGCAAAATAGTTTTCATCATTAGCAATTGACCAGGCTAATTGTGTCTGATATTTATTCATTCTATTAAACCAGTCTAGTGTCATCTAATTGAAACTGCGCTAATATCATGAATGAACATACCTATTAGTGGAATGCATAAAACCAATTAAATGTATTATTTGTAAAAGCACACCGCTTTAACTTCCTTGGTAATTTAGGTAAATATAACTGGATATGTTCTTACGAAGTAAACCGATCAAGTTTAAAGTAACTGATCAAATGATCTCACTGATATCGGAACTCAACTCGTCATTTTTTAAAAAATACATTGCCTTGTTATAACTGATCAACCAAACAAACACTACAAATAAAAATGTTACATTAAAATAGTCCAAATTTTTGGTGAAGGTTGCCGTTTGCTGTGTAAGCGTTGAAGCTTTTCCTCACATACACACGTGATGTAACAAATTGAAACTCGTACTTGGATTCTTAACATAATTATTTTTGTTAACAGATGGGAAGAAAAACTTGAAAAATGTACAGATGAATTAGATGTAATATGGCTCTGTTATGAATTAGGTCGATGTTATTTAGAATTACAAAAACCAAATAAATCATTCGAATATGGTGAAAAAGGATTAGATATAGCGTGTTCAATGAATGATAAACTATGGCAATTAAATATCAATGTTTTGATTGGACAATCAAATTTACAATTGAAAAAACGTCTTGATGCTCAAACAGCTTTTACTACAGCTTATGAATTAGCCAAGGTTGGTAAATATATATATGCATAAATTCAATATATTTCAATATTAAAATGCATATCATTTTATGTAATTAAATCTATATGTCCAATTATTGAATAGTAATAAAGATTATAGTTGTGTGTAACAGTAGCCTAATGACCATTTAATATGCCTATTTAATAATGAGCATTCAATATTCGACTGTTATGTTGTATGTTAAAACTTCACTATATCAGTCTACAAGTCAGTCAATCATGTATTACTATTGTCCCTTACCTAAACTTATTTTGTTTGAATGGGTTCCATAAAATTAATCAACAGAATTGAAATCAGTTTCATTGTTTTCAAGGTTTTTATATTTTGTTGGACAAATCAATTTGGAAAATCATTGCTCACTTATGGAATAACTAATTTAAAAACTAAATAAGTTAAGAAGTAGATCAAATCTTACAAATCTTATGTAAACTCTTTGAAAAGATATCTGTATTTAATCGAACAAAAATGAATTTCTAACGTGATTCATTTTAAATGAAAAAAGATTACAGATTTTCTATCCTGTTCTGTTTAAATCACCATTAAAAGATGTTATTATTAGTTATATATATTGTTCTTCACATTAATACTCACAGTTTGTCTGTAGTATTTGCAAAACTTACTGTCTTACGTTCCGAACAGTTTAGAAAATTAATTAATCATGCCCAAATTTCACTGAACTATAAACCAACCTGTTTTTGTATATTTATTATTATTTAATAAAGCTGTCAGTAAATTTGAAATGTTAAATATTAATAACAGTTCAAGAATGACATCCATGACCATCTTTCTAAATTATTGATATATGCTATCTACTTTCGTAGAATAGTTTACATCTAGTTTGTATAATTAAAATTAGTGTATGTGATCAGAGTACTGAATAGAGATAGCGATTGCATTTAACAGAGATTATATCTAGTTTTAAAATTCTGTTTAATTTTCGCTGATTTACGATATCAAATAAAAAACTCAAATTCAAGGATTTTTGTTCATTGTTCAAATTAGTATCAGTAGTTAAAAAGTTTTAATAATAAAACCTTGAACCTCAGATGCTACTTGCTTTTACCTAAATGTATGTCAGCTCGTAACCTTTTTCACTAAATTATGCATGATTTGTAAAGGCAGTTATCATGAATAAACTATGTGATGTATTTCTCGGTTCTGAATCAGGTGTATATGTGGTTCATCTTTCTTAAAGGGCGTCGTAGAAATTGTTGAATTGTGAATTTCATACGGCCGACTAAATTTAATTAAACAACTATTGAGAAACTGGAAGCACTGTACATCTGCTCCTTTCCAATATGAAACACCACGGAAGTGAACGTCCACAACCCCATTAGGGGTCGAATTCAGAACTTTCAGGTCTCTCTGATAGCTCTTGGAATTTAAACCACTGAGCTGTCATACAATGGTTTACATTTCTGACTTCAGTTTGTTAGTGATTTTCTGTGACTATCATTCATTTTCACTGGTACCAATTACTTCGCTTCTAACGTCATTGACCTCCACTGTTCATGGAAGTGGGCAATACTGAAGAATCTTATAATACGATGAAACAGATGTTCAATGTTTCCTTGACTGTTTTAAGTCCTTTCGTGACCATAAATTTCTGGTTTACATTTATCGCCTATCTGTTTTTTATGGTTATATATTGCTTGAGTTACAACCATGATACGAGCTTTTGTAAAAAGTTAGTTTCTAAACCGTATTACTCTTTGTATACGATTAAACTTATTGATCCCTTAAATTAAACCCAGTCCCACTTACATAGCTAATATTTTACGAACATCTTAACACTACTATTCCCAGGCTTGTATAGTCATGTACGATAGGACACGTGTTATACCTCACACATATACTCCTCATACTACCTAAAACGAATATATATATATATATATATATATATTTTGAATCGTCTGATTGGTGGTCATTTGACCTCAGCTGTGCGAAAATAAACTGTAGTCGTTAGTATGTATTATGTTCTGAAATGTGTACGCCTTTGGGGAATCGGTCTAATATCAATTATCAGAACAACTGATAAACAAAGTATAGGAAATGTCTCAAAGATGTCCCACTTCACCAGAATATTTGTTTGAAAAATAAATCCAGTCCAAATCAACAAATAAGAGTTTAAATCTTTTCTTTCATTTATCATATCATTTAAAAGGAACTTGAAGCTCATGATGCTGAGAAAGCAATATTAGAAGTAATTGATGAATTACAAAGTACCGATCGAGAAATGGATACATACGCATTAACGGATACAGAGGATAATGTTCGATCAGAAGGTGAGAGTATTATCCCACTTATTTTTAATAATTTAAAACATATACGCAATATATTTTCATGATTAAATTTCCCACGAATATCTTGTCTTAGTTTTCTTATTCATATATATATTAAAATTTTAAAACAGCTGCTTTTGTTTTACAATGTTAAAGTAAATTAATGATAAGTAAAATTAACCCTGATTTATCAAGGATTAGTTAGAAAATTACTTCGTTTTCTAATAAGTAGGTAATTTGTAACCAGTAGTTTAAATTATTCTTCAAATTTTAGTAAATTACCCTCCAATTGATCTTAACCAGATATGTGTCATGATAATTCAACCAAATTAATACAACACTAAATACTACTGAATCAGTCAAAACGATACTTCTACTTATGAAATCAGTTCACGAATCTCAACCAAATGGATTTTAAAATTTCGGACAACTCGTTAATCTACTAAGTTTGTGAACATATCTAAAATACAATTTAAGTACTTACTTATGTAAAGCAAATACTAATTCGTGTTTCTTTGATAAACACTCAAGGATGACAAAATAATTACTATGCTTACCTTTTTATAACAGTGTATCAATTACATTCCATAAAGAATGATTTCAATACATAATTAGATGAGTATAAAATGAATAGGATGTTGTGATTACTTCTTCAAAATATTCAATAAACGATAATATTTCTAGTCCCACATCTTTTAATCTGTTGACTAGTCATTCTTGGTATTAAAAAAAAATGAAAAAAATTACATTCGTGCAGTGAAATTACATACTTGATTGAGATTATTCACGAATAAAACTTCATACTAACTGAGAAAAGTGTCTGATAAGAAAAATATCGTAAATTCACAGTGACACTATTCTTGACGGAGTTTTTTTTCAACGGTTGAGATCATGAGTTAATTGAAGCTAGACCACTATGGAAAACCTTGAATCACTGGACGGCCGTTTCGTTCTATTATGGGACTCCACAGCAGTACGCACCCACAGTTTCACCTCGCAAGATTCGAACCTAGGTTTTCCATGGTGGTCAAGCTTCAATTGATTCATGATCTCAACCATTGAAATTACCATAATACGCACAAAAACCCATCTGATAGGAATTTTTTATTTTACAATTACAATATGAAGTGAACAAATGAAGAAAAATGAATTCGAGTAACTGTATCAATTTATGTTTTGAAACTTTTCTGTCTGATATTATTTAACAATCAATGTTGATAGAGATTACTGTTATAAATCACATGAAAACTAGTAACATTCAGGGTATCAATTCAATGTTGTATGAAAATGTATTACAATCAAACATCGGTAAATAGAGTGTCAAAGATGGAAGTTGAATATAACAGAATTTGAAAAGTTTGCTGACTTAACACATTTTAAAATATCAATTAAATAATTTTATTGTTTAAAAGAAATAAATTAATCGTCAACTGATTGTATTATGTTGGAAATCAAGAAAAAAATATGTTATTAAGTTAGTCTCATTTTGATTAACTTCTAAGTGCAATACTGTACAGTATGAAGTATTAACCCACGTTTATTTAACGGTATAAAGTTTTATATACGAAAATTTATTCCATAAACATTTTTTTAGAAGACTAATTACCTATTACTTCTATTGTCTCCTCAATTACACAACGATTATCTTCCAAATATAACGTTTCCAATAAATTCCATTATTTCCAAATACAATAATTTGAATAATCACGTTTCTCTTGCATTTTACACAACCTAAGATGTATAATAATGAAGAGTGAACATGAAAGTGAGCATGAAGATGAATATGCTCTGCTTAATTATGCTAAAGAAATATCTAGTTGATAAATTCATTAGTGTTTGTTTGTTTATTATTTCCTTATCCACAAATATAGAATGGTAAATATTGTAATGCTTTATTTTCTACATTTTGAAATCTCCTCACATCACATATCCACTCGTAGTTGGTAGGATTTCTGACACCCATTACGTGTTACTAATTTGATGTGTATTTCTCATGCTTTCTTACCGTGAAAATACTGTTGTTACAAAAATACTCAACAATTATAGGCAGAGATGGAAAGTGGCTGGCAGTGGGATCCAGGACGCGCGTTTCGTCCTATTTGGGGCTCGTCAGCTGGATGTACCTGTATCTCAGAGTTGACGTTCAGTATGGGACTCGAACCCAGTACCGTCCACTTCGGACGCCATCATGTTATCCAATTAGCTATTGAGTCCTGATAGCCATTTGCTTGTGCGATTGAGTGAAGTTTAAGATTTCAGTTCTAAACATCAATGGGAAGATTCAACTAAACAACACTAAGTGAATTTATTCAACAATTAGTCAACTCAAAATAACTCTAATATCTAGAATATTTATACTTATTTACAAAAATCAGGTAATATAGACTGAAGTGTGCTCTTTTCAACATTCTTTTCAGTTTTATCGTCTCAAATCAAATCAATTACTAATCAATAAACCCATGATTTTGTCACTTGACCTCATAAATATTTTTACTGTCTCCGACTTGTAAAACTCTGTAATTTTGATTGCATATTTTGCTTACTTACGAGTAATTAAATGATGTTACAAAAAAAAACTAAAGTTGTGATGACGCTGGTTATCAGTCATCCGAAAATTGTCATAATCTGTCATAATAATAATATTTTCAGTTGAGGTAAACAGTAGGAAATATTCAAGCTTTACATAAAATCATGAGACAAATAAATTTCTATGTTTTCACGTAAGTAACTATCATTTTGAAATATTAAGTTATATAATAACTTAAGCAGAATACGTATTCGTTTGCATACTGTCAGATGACGAATGTTTCCACATTTACTCAGTTTTACAGCTCGATAATATGGTTCATGTGTTTTGTTCACCAACAATACACGCAACAAATATTATTACGTGTTAAGAAGAGGAAATAATTTCATAATTATTTCCGGTATTGTTGTTGATTTGATTTAAAAATTAATTGTTTCAAATTGTCAATGAAACACAGAGATTGGAGATTGGCAAATTTGGTTAAAACGGATTGAAACTAATACCAATGGAAATATTTCATCATCTTTTTTTAGTGTTTTAACTCCAATTACTCGTGACTAATTTCCAACTTTTGATTTCCTCTCATTGTTTAGCTACAGTAAATGAATATAATAGTTGATTATTAGATTATGTATCAGCTCACGCAAAAATGATCATCAAGTGAGCGAGAATATTTTTATTTTTTTACAGAAATCTGACAAAATATTGTGCCATTTCGAAGTAGCGTATTCTATGTCACTGCTTTGTTTCCTAGCCTTTACCATTTTGAAAGTTATTCCGGATGACTGATTGACTTGATCTAATTTCAAGTCCGAATCATTGAAATATAACCAACATTTAACATAGTCCAGAAGTGTAAACAATGTTTTAGAAAAAAATAATCTGTATCGTAGATGTGTAATTAGCTAAAATTTGAAACAACCGATGGAATGTTACGCGATTAGATCCAGTCAATAAAATAATCTAGTTGTCGGTTCTGTGCTGGTAGACACTTATTACCAGCGTATATCCATCATCTGAAGACGATAATTTTGCATAGAATTAAGACCCGTTTTTTCTCAGTAACATATTTTGAAATGCTATATTGGTTACTACTCACAGTTAATCAATGTAGTTGGTAAAAGACTGGTCATGACTCAACTTTTAGGTTTACGGCCGTAAAACTTAGGTAATTTGCACACCTAGTTTAATTGAGTTAAAAATATTTTCATTATGAACCCTTGAATGAGTGTTTCAAATTGAAGTATATTTTAGATAATGAATTTATTCTTAACTACAAGTGACATCTCTTTTTAACATTCTGGCTTTTTTTCCTATAAATTATGAAATTTCTCGTTGTTTTGAAAAAGATAGGAAATGGATAGTCACTCACAGTTCACTCGTTGTAATAAGTGTTTACATAACTAACTATATTAAATAACAGCGTATTGCTGTCGCTTAGTTTATGTATAAAAAAACCATGAGTTTCATATAGGAATAATTTGTAAATATCAGATGGGTTTTTGTGGAGATTGTAGTAATTTCACTGGACGGCCGTCCAGTGCTTCCAGGTTTTCCATGGTGGTCTAGCTTCAACTGACTCATGATCTTAACCATTGAAATTTGTAAATAGTTTGAAATAGGATATCTGATCATTTGAACCAAAAACATCATTGGTTTATGTAAACAGTATGTCTAGTTTGATACTTTTTTACGTTATCAGTGATTGTTTTTTGTGTAGTCTACCACTGGTTTTACCAAATCTTATTTTCGCCTCTCTTCATTTCGCTGTACTAAATTAAAGTATAACAATTTGGGTCGAAATAAATTTGTGTCAGAATCTGAATTGAATATAACGATCTAACTAATTGTATACTAAAATTAATGTAATTAATAGCTCTATTAAGAGTTTGCATTTTGTTAGTATATATGGTGAGTTTCTTTCAAAACGGTTAGTGTAATTTAGTGATTTTTATTAATTTTACGTCTATTTCATACGAACATCACTTCTTGAAAAACTATAGAACTATACTTATTAGACGTATATACAAATAACCAAAATAATAGTTCCCAATATATTGGCTTTCAATACTCACAGCATGTAAATTCAGCGAGACTATAATTTATGAACGAGCCAATCAGAAGCGTTTGGGCGATTTACAGTGGATTTTAGAGAAGACGTGATCATTGAGCGGCTACAAAAAATGGGACTACCAATAAGTTTCATTTATTTGTGACAGCGGTAATGAAATGACTTCTGTACCGTGCGCAGACTACCATGACAAAGTTGTCTTTTGATGTTCTTTATGTTGGAGGAAGAAGTTTGCTAGGACAGGAACTTTTTTCTCTCGATACAGATTGAGACTAAGGCAAATCATGATAATTAATGCAAATTGGATAGTAAAAGCACCAGTCACACTAGCTGCAACCTTCACAGATGTTACCGAATCTTCGGCAGTACAATGGTATGTTTATTGTCGAGATATATATGCAATAAAAAGGACAGGCTTACACCAGTCGTTTGGAGGAGTCGGAAGAATCGTTGAAATAGACGAAACAATAATTAGAAAACGAAAATTCAAAAACAAATGTAATATTAAAGAAGACTTGGTAAGTAGCATTTCCACAAATATACCTCACAGATCCTTGGAATATACGACAGGTCATCCCAAAAGGGATACCTCCAACGGGTTAGAAACCGACAGGCAACGACGAGAATATCAATTATACGGGAATGTGTTCAGCCAGGCATTATAATATATACAGATGATTGGAGAGCATACAGATGCCTACTTCATGTCGTTATCCGCAAGCGTCATTTCGTTGACCCTACAACCGGAATTCACACTAACAATATTGAAGCTATTTGGTCAAGACTCAAAATCACTTAAGATTCGTTCAAAAGTCTTTCATAAATTTTAATCTCGTCGTAAATTCATAGATAATAAAAACTGTTATAGGTTTTAAGACAATCTAGTAATTTTGTACAGTATTTTAATAAATATCAAAATACAATTCTTTTTCTCTTTTTTTAACAAATAGATTCATTAATTTCACGAAGTAAAAATCAATCACCTTATCAAACGAATATTCAATCTACAGAAGAATAATCATTATACCTACTGTTATGCACGAACAATATTTTTTTCATCATAAAATGAATCCAAAAGTCTAGGTCTTCTCGTTACCAATTATCTATTTTTCCTTATAATCATGATAAAAAGGTTGTATTTTGATTATGGTTACAAATCTTTACTGTTTCTCTTTTTTTTGTTTTGTTTCTGTTTTCAAAAAATGTAAGAAGAAATCAAGTTTATTATTTAAACAACGATTTAATACAATTTGTAGTTTATGCATTCTGTCTCTTCTTTTATTATGTGTGCAATAGATAGATTTTTATTCTTTTGTTGTTGTTCATTTTTCACCGGTTTATGATGATTAATGTTAACATAGACTGATAAGACGTTAGTTAGTAGTCATGATATACTCAATAGAAATATCGTATTTAAAATTTTTAGTTAATTTCAGTTACAACACATATCATTTAGAAAAATATACGGAAAGTAGGAAAGAATGTAGCGTTTTGTGTTGTGATCATATCAGTAATCAAAATAAAATTAAGGATCCCAGGTTTTTATGGGTAAAAAGTTGTTTGATAAACATATGACACAATTTACATGAATGATGTGTTTTGAAATGAATATATCTTTGTTCAGTACATCTTGCTACTTTATGTAATTTATGTTGATGCATACGTAAAGGGCAATCGACCATTGAAATGTTAGACGAAACTTATTAGCAAATTTTATAATTAAAACAATCAATCCCTTTGATAAATTTGGATAATGGAATGGGAAAATGAAGGTTATCAGAATTATGTGATATATTTGCATAATATATTTCCAACAATCTTATGGCACATATACTTGTTAAGACATATATAAAAAGTAGAAATGTCGGCTGTATTGCCCCAACATTTAGAGGTGAATCGAATGGTCTCATGTTGAAACAAAGACTCAAATTAGTTATTAATAGAACATTTTATGCCACATAACTTGTCATTATCAAAAATTCAAGGTCTACATTTTACCAAAAACCCAGGCAGCTTGTTAGCGGCTGTGTCGCAACCCACTGCGTCTGTCAATTTACATGTATGTTCAGAAACACGTACATAAGGAGGAGCAATCGTGAGGTGCAAGTAAGTGTGGCTGGACGCAAACCTACGAAAAATGAAATTATGGAGATCAAATAAAATTATAAGATGGACGAATATCTTCCTTTATTGATAAACATTTGGTTGAGACCGGTTAATATTAAGTCACTCTTTGTAGTTTTGTACAAAATTGTCAAGGACGTTTACTAAGGTTTATTGAATCCTTGCTTATGCAACTAATGAAACTCCCTTTATGTGTCCATTGACAATTTGTTTTTTCCTCGAACCAACCATGGAAATACTGATTTAATATCCAGCTTAGTTTTCTCATTGTGTACTTTATTATAGAACAAAAGTAAAGAGAATTCAATGAAGGAAATTTTCTTTTCGACGAAACTATTTACCTAAGCTGTGCATTTGTATTCATGGTTGTATGTTAAATATATATCTACAGAAGGGAATTAGGGTCAAGGAGGAATGAGAGGTTGGACATATCGTTTTAGCATGCAAAGTTTGGGATGAATTGATGGATGGCAGTAGATATATTTTGATTATACTATTAGCCACATTCCATCTATTCAATAAAAACTTGTGAAGCGATGGCTATATCGAAGCAATCCACACAGGATGTACTTCTATCAAGTAAGATCGATCAGAATTCGATCAAAATATCAACGGTGTGATCTATTCTTTGTGTTTTTGAATTCTTATCAAAATTCAACAACTATTTGATACAGATTTTATGAGTCGAGAGAAAGTAGTATATTTTAAGTACTATTAATTATTTGAAAACAGCTCAAAATCGACTACTGAACAAAACGTGGAACAAGTTTTCAGCAGTAGACATCTGTGACCTGATAACTAGCCCAGTCCATGACCAACATGACCTACAGTTAATATGATTTATTCAGGCCAACGAGTCGCAGACTAATGGTCTACATTTTCAACTGGTGAAATGTATCATTATCGTCATTAGTAAATAAATAGAATCATTTAACATAGTTTTTACCAAAGACTACAACTTTACCATCACGAATCTCAAACAATACTCCTTTGTTTTTAAAATGCTAAAGACACTTTTCATTAGTATACGGATTTGTGGAGGAGTCCCATACAAGGACGAAACAGACGTCCAGTTCTGCCAGGTGTTCAATGATGGTCTAGCTTAGACGATTCATGAATTCAACTATTAAAACACTTTTCATTATTTATCAGTTATTTGTACATGAAAGTGTAATACCTATAAAATTGTGCACACTTCTCTCAAACATGATTTATATTCTAAGTAGTTTACTTTGAATGCAAGTATCTAACCGAATAAACAAAATTACATAAAGAAATGTATTAGAATTATAAACAGGCTAAAAATGTTCTAATGAATTAGACATTACTTCAGAAAAAAGAACTATCGAGGGTAATAAGTTATTTGAACAAATACCTAACGATTTAAAATGTGCTTTAAATTTCAATAAATACACTTTATTTCTTAACTCAATCGGCTTTAACATAACTTATTACACTATTTACTTTAAAAACTTATCTATTCAAGATATGACCATATGACTCAGTAATAAAATAATTTGTTCATTTCATTTTGTTTACACTAATTCATATCATTTACTCAACTTTATTTTAATCAAAGAAACATTAAATTATCAATATTTAACATACTAAACATATTAAATATTAAATGATTTCTAAAACTACAAAGAACTTATTGTTCATTGGTGCTATCGGTAAAATCAAACTTGAAAAAAGTTAACTAAAATTTATGCTCAGTTTTCATTTTGTTGTTGTTGTTGTTGTTTAGAATAGATATAAATAAGTATTGTCTAGTGTAGGAGACGGTTTTAATGACCAATTCTTTTCAATGAACATAATCCATATTGATAAATGATTCAAAATGTATATAGCATTACCTTAATGTGCTTTTTAATATTCACTCCTTATCAACTACATTCATTTCACTAAAATTATTTATTTATTTGTAATAATGGTAAATATTTTCTGTTTAAGTAAGAATATTTACGTATTTATTATCAAGCGGAAGATTTTAATAATTTACCAATAAATAATTATTAGTTTCAATAAACTTCATTGAATGAATAATCTGACCGACTGAATCGGTTAACTTTCAGATCCATTAACATAAATTAAAATAATTTTATCAGAAGGGGTGTTGTGGAGATTTTAGAAATTTCACTGATTGAAATCATGAGTCAATTGAAGCTAGACCACCATGGAAAACCTGGAAGCACAGGTCGGTTGTGAGATATCAACTCACTGAAGACAATGGTGTATGGTGGCGCAACTTCGTGAATTGGTTGAAGTTAGACATTAACACCGTCGGGTGCCGGCTCAATGGTCTAGTTGGTTAAGCGCCTGGTGCGAGGCCGATAGGTCCTGGATTCAAATCTCGCAGGATGCGCACTGCTGAGAAGTCCCATACTAGGACGAAACGGCCGTCCAGTGCTTTCAGGCTTTTTATGGTGGTCTAGCTTCAATCGACTCATGATTTCAATCAGTAAAATAATTTTATCATATAGGTTTAGATGATCACTTTACCATTTTAAAGATAAAGAAACATGTAAATGATATTAAGTAATTGAAAATAAAAGGAAATATCTTTATTGTATTCGCATAAAAACTAATGATAACTTTATAATGAGAAACTTCTTAAAACTGTGTATTATCCTCTTGATTTTGCATTTTAATATTCAACAGTTTAAAAAATTCCATGGACTATTCAACAACAATGGATATTTGAGTGAACCATCAGTTTCAACAACTTCATTATTAAACTCTACAGTTATAAGTTCATAATTATCATGATATTTTGCAAAGGTTAAAATAAAGCATGTACTAATGAATTTGAAAATGTTATGTGATAAAAATTGTGAACGTTTGCATCTGTTACGATGTAAATACTTCAATATTGTGTTATTTGTATATTGGGAAGGTTAGTTAATTAAGGTCAGAGTAAAGTATCCTGTCACAATCCGTAGAATAGTAATGTAGGAAAAATGAAAGTGCATATTAGGAGAATTTCGTTTTGTCAATTGAGATAATAATAATATTGTTGTGAGTGTAATATGTAATAAGAGGGGTATTATCAAAGTAATTACGATAGACAAAAGAAGGAATCATGTGAACTGGGAAAGATGGACGTGAAGATTAAGATAGATGTAATCAAAAAACAGAAAAGGGTAAGAGGTTTATAAAATTCAGTCTAGGTATCCGGTGATCCAATCGTAAGCTAACGTAAAGATAGTGGCTGGATATACCTATTCAGAATACATAAGTTTGGTTTTCTGGAGCTGATCAAGATGACATTGTCTATCTAGAGTAACCGTAATCTAGCTCCTTGAGGTATATTTTTTGGAGCTTGATATAAGACAGTAAAAGGATAGTGCTGTTGATCGATTTAGTGACTCCTTTTCCCAACCATGCGGGTACATGTTTACGAACGTGCAATATTCCTTCATACTTGCGTTTATTTCATTGACTTCCTCAACTGTATTATTAATGTCCAGTTTTTCTCATTATTATTGCTACAAGAGAATTTTGATTCGTTTTATCATTCATCGCATTGTTTTTATTTTGTTGTATTAATGTGTTATGGAACATTGAGCCAATGTACATCTGTTCCAGGCTGTAAGCAGAGGACGACAAACTGATCGATTAAATGAATATATTCAAATTAACAACAAAGTATCACTAACAATTGACCAAATAAACTAATAATCTTCATGAATCTGAAAATTTTCAAATAAGAAAATTAGTGTTATAACGGCTGGTTTTCCACGTTAATTTACCTTAGGCGAATATCTTCACTAGATTCCTTCCCGGTGTCTATACTACGGGACTTCAACTTAACTCAGATCAAGAACACATGATTAGCCTGACTAGAACATAAATATATTTCCACACCGAAACTCGAAACAATCCAACAACAAT